ATAAAAAGACAAATTAATTTTAAATAAATTTAAAGTCAAAATATAACTGTTATTTTGAGATAGAAAAAGTAAATGCATACTTTTAATGAATCAACAAGTAATAATTCTAATATTTTATGGTGAAAAATCTTAATTTTCACTTTCCTCTTGTTTGATAGTAGTTAATTAGAAATTAATATAATTACTAAATTAAGTAGAAATTTATTTATACAAAAAATCTTTTATATAACACTTATATAGTGTTATATAAAATATTTACTACTATTCATGATTTTACTTTTAGTAGTAGAGATTTATTATAATTTTTTAAATAAAAAAATAATTATTTTAACAAATATGATAAAAAAATAAATTTTAATTATTAAAAATAAAAAAATTAATGATAAAAATTTTATATAAATGTAAATATTTGTTTACATCATAAATTGCAAAATTTTAAATTAATGCCACATGTAAAATATTTTTTATTGGTTGGATGAGTTTGAGCCATGTCAAATTCGGATGCTGGGTTCCAAGACAGATCAGCACTTGTGTTGGCAAAATAGGAGAGGTAAAGATAATTTTTTATGGAGTAATTATCTTCTTGATACAGAAAGGGATAATAGGAGCTGGAAAATAGGAGAAGATCACAGTTAAAAAGGGGGTTTTATCTGATAGGAGTACAGGTGGCAAAATCTGAAAGGAGATTAGACTAGGTCAAAAGGTGAGGTGTCCCACTATTTCAAAAAACCACCAATGATTGAGTAACTGCAGAAAGTGGAAATTACTGTTGGCACAAGAAAAACAAAAAGGAAATTTTGGAAGGAAGAGGAAATTTTGGAAGGAAGAGGAAATTTTGGAAGGAAGAACACACGGCCAGCCCTACTCAAACATCTGCAAATTTTCATACTTTGATTTTCTCTGCACATGCTTCCAGATTTCGAATTTTAGCACAGATTCCAATAGAATTAAGGTGTTCTTCATCATTTCAGTAGACAATTTAATTTATGTACTTGCTACATCAGTTTCACTTCATGCAATGAATTTCAACATTTCAAGTTTCTTCCAGGTACTATTCATTTTCTGTTTGTAATTAATTTAGTGTTTATTTTAAGTAGCATTGCTTCAATGATTACTTATGTGGCTTTTATGGTTCTTTCCAATTTCAAGTTCTTCAATTTCTTCACTGTTCACGTTTAATTTTAGTGCTAATTTAGGATGAAGTTTCCAATTCTGCAGTAATTTAATTTTCGAATCTGTCAAGAGATTGCATTTTTAATTTAACCATAAGCATGTTTAATTTAATTTGGGAACATTTCTTTCTTGCAAGTTTATTTTAAATTGCAGGTAATTTAGAATAATTAGAATTTGTTAATTTTAAGTCACAGTAATATTTAAGCCCTTGGAGTTGTTCAAGGCAGATTTCGTAACCTAACCTGCAGGAAGGTATCCCTCCCTTTTGTAAATCATCTGAAGGCGCAAATTACATTTAATCCAACGTTCTTCCCATCATCTGCAAAGAGATCGACCGTGAAAAAAGAGATAGTCATTGGGAAAGTTCTCCTTTCTTACTTTTATCAAATTAAGTGACACCCCCGCATCAAGATTTCACACGTGCGAGGCCACTAGAGGATTTTTGAGGAAACAATCTTATTATACTAAATTATATGAAGTATCAACTAAAATTAATTTAATTATAATAAACCAACATTTTAATGAGATGCTTGCTAAAAACCCACTACAACACCGTAACCAAACTAAAACTGTTAAAACCAACCAAACCAAACACAATCTGAGTATATGGGACATTATTATTATTATTATTATCTTAATTGCATAATAAGAGTAAACCATTTCTCATCCTTTATTCCACCTCATGCAATTCAAACTCATAATCTCTTAATTCAATGAAAAGAGATTACTAAACTATTTAAGTAATTGACAGCAACTTTTTTTTTTATACTTATACTGTGACATAATTATCGTTTCATAAGACCCTAAATTGATTGGGGTTTAACACTTGTGATTTATGCATTATTCCAACAACAATAGCACTAAGTAGTTTATATCCAAAGCAAACCAAGAACATTCTTTTTTGTGCCAAATAATGTAATATCAAAGACTTGCGGTTGCAATGGCTTTCCTTTCCAATCCCAGCAGGTCACAAACCTCCGGATACAGTCCTTTCCTGATCTCAGCATATACTTCCCCTTTCCACTTCCTTTTGGTCAACTCCTCTCCCAGGCGCACGCTGGCCTTCCTCACCTCATCTTCGTTATCATGCGCCGCCTCCACAATCCCCATCTTCACGGCTTCATCCCCTCTTATCTTCCTCCCGCACATCAACAATTCTCGCCGGGCCGAAGCTGAGCTGATCTTGGCTGTTATCAGGGCGGTGAAATAGTCCGGGAGGGTGAGACCGATATCGATTTCGCTCATGTAAAGCACGCCTTTGTCGCGCCTCATGAAGACGTAGTCGTGGCTGAGGGCGAGCAGCAGCCCGGCTGCAGCGGCGTGGCCTGTCACGGCGGCGATGGTGGGCATCGGGAGGGAGAGGAACTCGCCGACAATCGGTTTGAAGGATTCGACCATGTGGTGTAGGCGTTCGGCGGCACCTTCCTTGGATCCGGCGGCTTGGGCCCAGGCGAGATCGAAGCCGTTGGAGAAGAATTTTCCTTGGGAGATGGTGATTAGGACGGAGCCTCGGGTGACTTGGGCTTTGACCTGGGAGAGAGTCGATAGGATGGTGGCGATTAGGGTGGGGCTGAGGCGGTGCTCGTCGTCGCCGGTGAGGGTTAGGATGAAGAGGTTGCCACGCTTCTCTAGGGTGCACATGGTTGGGTGAAACGGTAGATCTCGGTGGGCTGAGTGGTAACTACCGATAGAGTGGGTAGCCTTGCATTGGTTATAAGGCCGAAGGTGATAGAGGAAGGGAAGAAAATGCAGCAAAATAAGAGGAGTTTTTAAACCGAAAAATACTGATATGAACCGATATTTTATTTCACTGATAACAACTTTTATATAGGTAGAAGACATGAACAATACAACTAAATAAATAGCAATTACATGGCTAACATGCACACTGATGCGATAGGATTAAGATTAACAAACCAACAAAAGGTAGTCAAGGGTGATATGATACCAAATTATCCATGAGTGATTTTTTTACCCTTAAAAAAAAAAGAATGTTTTTTTTA